TGTTTTGTTTAAAAAATTAGAGAGAAGCAAGAACGAAAAGCTACGAAATGCAACAGGAACAAAAACACCTACTTTGGCTACTGATTTAATTCAACTTAGATAATTCAACTAATTTCCAGACAATTACATTTAGAATGTTCTCCTTTTGTACTCTCCAGAGGTGAAAGTGCCCTGCCACAGAACTTCTATTAAAAACAGAACTTAGATATAAATAGACCTAAAAATGTGTTTGTGCTGATGCAGCATAAGATAATACTTCCCCATCACTGGTGAAATTAATGAGGAGCATTTGGAGGTGGCACTTTTATACAGAGCAAAGGAAGTTGATGAAAAAGCTGCCAGCAGGTATCTCCAGAAAAGAATGAGAGCTAATGGCAAACACTACACTGAGGAGTTGTAATGTAAATACCTCACCAGGGAGGTGCCTGTAGGTTTGTTCAGAAGAATAAGGATCACATCATCTAGTCTATTTAATCCTCTGAATAAACCCAGTGTTCACCAAGACCAGAGAAGTCAGGTTCTAGCAACAAGGAATGCTGCTTGGTACTCTGTCTTCTTTCTTTTTCCAATGCCAACTATAAACAACATCTCCTGAAGAATACAGAAATGCCTCTGCTGTTTCAGTGGGCAGGCTTGATGTCTCTGTTGTGAACACCTTTTGATTTGAAGAGATGTACCACTAAAACTAAGTACTTTGAGCAACTCAAGGGATATCAAAATGAACATAAAATCAGAACTCTAAACTGGTGAAAAATTAAGTTTTATGCTAATTATGGAAACAAACACAAGAAGCAAACTGCATAATCAGTCTTCAGAGGATTTAAATATGCTGCAAGCAGGCTCTACTACCATCTCAGGTCAAATGTAAAATATAAATGTGCAACCTTCTAGTTTTAATCCCAGCTCCACCAAAGACTTCAAGAGTCATTCTAGATTCCCTGTTTTTCCTTCTTGCATTTTTCTTTTCTCTCTTCCAATTCTTCGGTCACCTGAGCGAGGACTGCTCACACTAGTCTTTGGTTGACTTCCAAAAGCACTGTGGCCTCTTTCTCCCTCCCCTCTCTTTCTCTGGGTTAACTGCACATTCTGAAAACAAAGCATAAAAATTCCAGCAAACAAATTACTTCCATATGATATCCACAGAATGCTGTGAAAAATTTGCATTTCCTTGAGTTTCACACTAGGCTGTCAAAGATCACTGCTGACAATTGACTAGATGGTACTTCAATTTCATTTCCTCCAATCTTTGCCATATTTCTCTTACCCTTTCCACTAAACAGAAAGGATAGTCCTCATCATGCAGCTAACAAATGACATAAATTCATGTCTTCCACGCCAGCAGTACAAGAGAAAATCTACTAAGGATGACAGAGGTCTGCTCCTAATGGACATATGCACACACCAGGTCCCACCTTCTCTAAGTGATTTGATGCAGACTTCCTGGCTGCACACTCATTAGCTCAATCCTGCTTATGCAGCACACAGGAAATAATAAAGCGCCCCATGAAGTAGCATGTAGAGCCATAAATTTCAAATTGAGACATCTTCCATTTCTCTTCCAATAGGCATTTGGAGAAGAGAACTTGGGGGAGCTGAGGGGATTACACTTGATACATTCTCATGGCAAAGTCAAGAAGTAAAGCTGCGCCATCCTCACATCCTAAGAACAGGTGAAGAGGCACTCAGAAGCACAAGGGTCCTTCACCAATGTGTAGTGGTATCTCAAAGCTTTCTTAAAACATGACTATTTGACTCTTTGTTTTAATCCCTACCTGCATGTGTAAGACACAGCTATCAAAATAAAAGTCTCCATCATGCAACCAAATGCTGTTTTCAGAGATGGCTTCCATGCTCTCTGAACTGCTTATCTCCATGGAAGGCAAACACATCTGGAGGAAGGAGGTGGGGGGAAGTGTGAGGAATTATACATATTCTAACGATGTCTTAATTTCCCAGCAGTTCTACAACACAACAAAAAGCTCTCTGGTGCTGAATCCAATCTCACTACAAACAGTAGCAGAAAACATGCCTCACTGCAAGCACTTGCATCATTTTCCTCTGCAAACACACTCTCCTTTGTTTACTGTACTTTTAAGTACATGAGTGCACAGACCACCCACTGTATCAGGTACCTGAGCACAGGAAAGGTGAGAGATGAGGCTAGGATTCCTTCCTTATATGAATATAAATTAATCTATCTGATTCACATATGCTAGTAAGGCAGAGCTCATCCTCAGTCAGTTCATGTCCCTGACAGGCTAACTTGTCCCAGGCTCTCCAGAAATCATGCAGATGAAAGAGCCAAGGCTGTGATATAGGAATTACAGGACCAGAGAGTTAAAAAGGGATTTGCAAATCAAGTAGTAATGCCTGCCTTGGCTTAATTTAATTTATCATATTCTACTGCTGCTTGCCTCCCCGCCCTCTCCCCCCCAGCAGCATATCAATATTGTACACAGAAGCACCTACAGTATGAGAAACTACCTGATCTCTATTGTAGCACCTGCTTAAAATATGCTCAGTATCCTTTGGGCTCTGACCTGCATACACTGAAACAAAGATAGGGATGAGTTTACAGATGAACACCGGATCTGGCAGTGAGCACACTAAGTCATTTCTCTGCTCCCCTGCACCTTATCAGTGACATTTCCCTAACAGCACAAGATGTAGCACCAGCTCACTGCATTGCAGCTCCCCAAGGAAACTCACTCAGATCACCCCAGGGATTACACTTTATCTGGCAAGCACCAGAGTAAAAAGTGAAAGCATTAGTTCATTTTGCACTTTGGTTGTTCACATCTACAGACCCTCCAACTCAACAGCCAGGAAGATAACAGATAAAGGGAAGATTCTTTGTAAAACTCCACCTTTGGGTTTGCTGATGATTTCAATAGCATTTATTACTGTGCAACATGACTGCAAGGAATATTTTGAAAATGCATTTGCTCTAAACCAGCCACAGCTTCTTTCTTCCC